CTGAGTGCATACTTCTGCAGTGAACCAGGGCTTGGGATTAGCCCGATTTGTGATGGTTTTGGAAACAGTAACATACTCAATACACTTGCTAATGTAGCCAGACACTGAGGTTGTATACTCCTCCAGGTCCACTGAGCCGTTGTAGGTGGCAGCTTCTTAAAAATGTCCTAGTTTGTGCATTCAAAACAGTCCTGCAGTGCAGAGATGGATCCTTGGGGCCAAGTTCTCACCTCTTTCAGGACTGGTCTGATTCGTTTCTGGATGGGTCTGTAGGCTGAGGTGAGAAAGATGGAGATGTGATTCAATTGTCCAAGGTGGGGCCAAGGAGCAGCCTTCTATGCACAGGGAATATTTGTGTAAACAAGGTCCAGCATGTTTTCCCCATGTGTGGCTAAGTCTGTGTGCTGATAAAATTTGGGGAGTACTGCCTTCAGGGATGCGTTGTTGAAGTCACCCGTTGGGGTGAACAGTCTGCAGCTCGCTTATTTTCTCATAGAGTTCACCCAGGGTGTTGTTAACATTATCACCATTAGCTTTAGCATCACTGTAAGAGGGGATGTAAACAGCCACAACGAAAGCTGATATGAACATTTTCGGTAGATAGAACGGTCTACATTTGACTGCATTTGGCACATGCGGTTCAGCATCACGTCTTCTACAGTCCTCATTTCTGTCCAACAGACTCCCATCCTGCATGGCAATATTATGCAACATACAACATGCCATGGGAATGCTGTGACCTTCTGAGGACAGTATTGTATTGTTTATTTGACTTATCTAAATATCTGAAACACATTATTTCTTTCAATAACAGTACATGCTTAATTCTGCTATTGAACACGAAAGGTTGTTTAATGATATGGTTTGTTCTATACTTAATATATATTGTTTTTATTTTGGCGTTTTATTAAATAGTATGATTACATGAAAGGACCAGATGTACTGTATTTAAGAAATGTATATATAAATGAAATAAAATAAAATAACACAAATCCATTAGTACACTTCGAGCATGTATCTATGTCAATAATGAGGGCACTTAAATACCGTTTAATAATGTGCCACTGACTTCAAATGTGGTTTTTGTTGGTCAAAAGCGCAATGACATTGCTCTGCCTTACAATAGCAACGCATCGACAATGCTCCCAGCCAAGCCTCATTTAAAAAACACCACTCTTATAAGTGGAAAATGGGCAAAAAATCCTTCTGCTATTTTGATGACGTGCACATATGGTGTGAAAGGGAGTAACGATCCTCTCATTCATAGGGGTAAACTCCAACATACTGGCACTAAACCAGAGGTCTTTAAGTAGACCCACATTTCAATGGGAAAAATGCTAACACTAACTATGACTAACTATGACAACCTTAACCCCTACCCTGCCCTAACCATAAGTAACCAGGAAACCGGTCCCCATAAGGGAAAAAAAATGGATATTTATCACGTTATGGGGACATTGTGTCCCCATAAGGATAGGTAAACCCGCTCACAAAACCCCACACACACATACACACACTCAAATATTCAGTCTAACAACAGTGTTAAAAACAACATTTGCGTGTCTCATTAGGTATGTGTGTTAATGTTACTAAAATCAGTGCAAAAGGGTGCAACTACAAGTCTCTGACAAAGTGTTTTTACTGTGTCTTTTCATTCCAACTTAATTTATCTAAAATGTAAACTTGTTTACACGGTTCAGTGGTTAGCACGGTTGCCTTACACCTCTGGAGAGCAGGGTTTGATTTGAAATAAAGAGACAATGCGGGGGAAATGGAAAACCAATAAGTACAAACAGGTGAGACTAGCCTCTGGCCTCTGGCCTCTAACCAGCCTCAAACCCACAACCAGAGGGCTTCATCTCTGAGCCACATGCTCAACCCATGGAGCTAGGCTGAGGTCTGCAAAACCGGGAAAACACATTAGGGCTGAAGGGCTATGAGACAGAGAGGGGAAATGGGAGATGACCATGCAGCAACGCCTGCTGGACAAACAGGAAAGAGACACAAAGGGCAAGGTAGTTTGTCTTCTGAGTCTGGTTTGTGGTAAAAGCTATAAATAAATATTTAACATTTTACTAAGATGTAAAATGCAGGCAATTCTGAGGATGAAATTAAAGCAAACATCAGTTATGAGTTTTATATAACAACTGAACGTCACTTTGGCTAAGGGCATCTGCCAGATGCTGTAAATGAATGCAACTGAACATCACAAAATAAACAGTCATGCGAAAGAAAGAAACTGGAGTAAGACATTCACAATGGCGACTGAAGAACAGAGATTCTGATAAAAGAAACCAATTTCTTCTACTGAAGTCCACACACCAATTGTATCACTGCGCAGAGGATATCAGCGAGATGCTCATGCTCATATCTTTTGTGCAGTGACATGATTGGTGTGTGGACTTCAGTAGAAGAAAATAGTTCCTACAATAAACTGCTCTCCACAAAGTATATGAATTATCTTGTCTAACTGGGTCATGATTTCTAATAGTGTACTTTTTTGAAGCTTAAATCACCACAGAAATAATTCCATTCAGTCCCATTATATTCAAGAGAAAACCAACATTTATATAGCTGATGTCTCCAAAATTACGTAACAGCCGAACAACCTGGATGGATAGATAGCACTAAATCCCTTCTAAAACACATAATTTTTTCAGTTTAGGGGTGAACTGCCCTTTTAATCATGGGGTTTAAATGCACATGGGTAATTTATGCACTTTGGGTGGATAAACACCAAAATATGGGCATGTTGCATGTAAATCACCCTTAACAGGACATTTAGGCACCCTCATCTTGATGTACTTCAACTGACCGAAACCAAATTCATCGCAAGTTTCTGGGTGGATTGTGAAACGATCCATTTTGAATTCCAATTTGTCCTGCATTTTTGTGCACTACATAAACTACATCAAGGGTTCCCAATGGAACTACCTGACCAGAACACTCGCCTGATTTGTAACCATTCTAGAAAATGGCTTAGAATACTAAAACTATGCAATTGATTGTATTGTATTATTTTATCAGCAATACTTTCTAAATATCAGTCCAGGCTGCTAATAATGCTATATTTACACCATATTCATTGGTTAGGCATATTTTCTTGTAAACAGAATTGTTCTGAATATAGAGGGGGAAGAAAATCCAAAGTATATGGATTTGTTCTTAAACACAATATAGGTCCTTCTCGTGAACTCATTAAATAGCATATTGATTTTATCTAATTTTTTTAATTAGTTTGACGACAGATGCCGGGTGGAAACATTTTACACATAGTATTGTCTAAAATGTTGTAAAATGTTGATTTTCCCTCTGTTTTAGTTAATTGATTGTGGAGTAAAACAATTGACAATACAAAACAACTGTAGAAATTATTGTGCATTTTGGGTTACTTGCAGTGTTATTTAATCTAAAACCTGTAACGGCAGTCCCTATTTGGGGAAAATACTTGAGGGATCATTAAATCAGAGCTATAAATTACATAATTTTTATATACCTAACAAGTTCAGGCAGAGGTGAATAGTTCCAGTCCAGAAAATAAAAATCCAGATGAAGATTTTGTTTCAACCAGCCAGTTAAGTACTCTGTGACTGTGACTCAAAGGTCTGCACAACTGGTTGGTTAAAGCAAAATCTTGGTCTGGATTCTTACTTTCTGGACATGAACTATCCACCTCTAAGTTCAGGTAATGTCAACTGACAAAATTCAAACATATACCTGTGGTGTGCAAAAACTTGTAACTGACGTGTAAAATATATTTCACATGGCAAAAACATTTTTGGATGTCCATGTCTTAGGAATGTATTTCATATTTAATATTTTTCTTGCATATGGGACATAATAACTTAATGCAATGTCAATTGCTCTGCATAAAATTCAAACATAGCATTTCGTTTTTGTCAAAAGATTCTCATGTTTGTGAAAATAACCAAATATAACCATAGTAGGCTACCGCCCTGCTTTCATTTTCAAAATAAAAGAGTCTCTGCGGATTTCGGTTAGGTTCACAATGTAAATGAAACAGTCTATATTCTACAGTTTGCTTGTAGCTAAAATCATCTAAGGTGATTGTGGGCATGATCGCGGTGATGAGGGGAGACTATGCTTAACTGAAAAGCGTGTAACTTTTTAAGCACTTTTTAAAGTTCTTGACTCTTGTATGAGGACTGGGTTGTGTTTCTCATCTGCATTTTTCTTGTTGCCAAAACTATCAAAACTCTTTTTTCTTGCTTGATGAATTAATTATACTTCTTGCATAGCTGTGCCTTACCTTCTCTTTCAGGTTCAGTGTAGTGAGCATGTCCGTGCTGCTTAAGAGAGGAAGCACTTACTGTAACTCAAACACGTGTAACTTTTTAGGGATTTTTTTTACTTAACTGCATGATGAGAGAATTGATCCCTAACACCGGGACATACAAGGAACACAGGACATAGATTCAAACTATGTGCAGGACTAATTATGAGCAATGACACTAAGTTTACAATGCTTTATGTGTACAAAGGCAATTTATGTACAATACTACAAATGAAGGACTTTGTCTCTGGTTTGCAACAGTCTAGTTCCTTGGGTGCTTTCTTAAACAACAGACTTCCTGCTAAGTGAGATAGCTTTACTGAATGCTCTACTTTTCATACAGTCCCTCTCCGACAGCTTGTCACTCATAAACCACTCTAAACCTGTCAATCACATATTGTGCACACCTCAGTCTGAACATAAGCAAAAACTGAAACAAATGACTATTGGGAAGTAGGTGCTTTAATTATTTACATTTCAGGGATCCCTTCACCAGCTCTGAACCTCTCACACTCTCGCAAATTCCTAATGAGCGTTTTCTGTTTTGTTTTTGTCAATATTATTGTGCTGAAAGTACCAGATTTGCCAGATGAAGTACATTTGTTTTAGGGGGGCATTCTCTGCTTTATGTCTGCTTATGACAGTATAATGTCTTACTTTCTCTTTTTTTGTTTGGATGTTTTTTGTCATAATTTTTCCCCATCAGGGTGCAGGTAAATTGGACAGCCAGAAGTCCTGGCCACAGCCCAAAGTCATCACATTCGCCTGGAGACGATGGGCAAGTTACAGCGGGCCAGGGAGGCAGAAGCGCGACTGGGTCATCCCACCAATCAATGTGCCTGAAAACTCCCGGGGACCCTTCCCTCAGATGCTTGTCAGAGTGAGTGGCCACTCAGTCAGTGTGGGAGTGTTCTGTAATAATGTTGCAAATTTATTGATTTCATAACAAAGGTTCATTGAGAAGCAATGTTTAACATATCTACACATATGTTCCACCCAGACATTTTCTTTTTATTAAGTGTTACGATTTTTTAACTGACTCATTCAGCTCTGTTCTTGCTTTTTTGCTATTAATTGCAATTGTTGGCTCCCAAAGTGATACTAAACACAAATATGAGGCATTTTGGCAATAAATCTGTATAAAAATAAAGATGATTGAACAAACACATAAAACTTCACTTTGAGAGGGAATATGTATTGCATTGAAAATTCTCTGAAAAAATATTCTGTGTATTTCACTATTTACAAAACTCATTTACTGTTTACGAACGTAATAGGTTATTTATTCTTGCCTTTAATGCATTCAAAATGCACTCTACAGAAACATTTTTTCCACTGCGAGATAATAGAGATATTGAGGGTTCTGCATCATGTAACTTTAGTTAAACCCCTTGTCTAAAGATCAGGGTCAACTTACATAGCTGTTCTTCACACAAAACCATAAAATGTAGATGAGAAACACAGTCCAGTCCTCATACAGGAGTCAAGAACTTTAAAAAGTGCTTAAAAAATTACACGCTTTTCATTTAAGCATATTCTCCCTTCATCACCGCGGTCATGTCCACAATCGCCCTAGGTGATTTTGGCTACAAACAAAATGTGGAATACGGACTATTTCATTTACATTGTGAACCTAATTGAAATCCGCAGAAACCCTTTTATCTTGAAAATGAGGGCAAACCAGTTGCTAGTCAATGCCATTAAAAACCCACATATCTACCCTATTAAACATAGAATGGTCACCAATTAGGTGAGTATGCTGGTCAGGTAGTTCCATTGGGGACCACTGACCTAGTGTATGTAGTGTATGTATGAAATGTATATATCTGTACGAAAATGAGGAACAAACTGAAAATCAAAAACGAGCATTTCACGTTCCACACGGAAGTATATGATACATTCAGTGTCAGTCAACTGAAGTACATCAAGACGAGGGCGTCTTTGTCTATGCCACTCTTGCATTAGCGCAAGTACACTTACAACTGCAAGAACACACTATATTTCCTTTAAACCTATTTTTTTACTCATTTTAATTGAAATAATTATCCTTTTAATCAACCAATTGTTTAGCTGATGTAACTGATTCTCCTGCTAGGCACGTTGACAAGGCAGATGTCACATAAATCTTGCATAATGGTAACGTACTTTGTATGTACTTATGTATTTGTATATATTCTTCCATTATATTATCCTTACATAATTATACAAATTATTTACATGTCTTTTGAATTGTGCAAACTGCAATATTAGGTTTGACCATATGGAGCCACATGACTTAATACAGCACTCCAGAATGTATATTTTGTGTAAGTGCATATTTAGTCCAATTATTATTATTATTATTATTATTATTATTATTAGTCCAATTGTACTTAAACCCCAGACTTAAGTCTGTGGAAGAATACGCTTAAGTGAAAAAAGCATGCAGCTATGCACTTTATTAACTTAAGTCCATGGGGGAATAGACCCCACAGTGCAACACTTCCAAGTTTGACTCCATAATGATGGATGATGCTGTGGACACTATATGTATGTGTGCAATTTCTTATATTCAGAAGAAAAAAAACTGAAAATAACTATAGGAACCCAACTGACCCAAAATGGATCTTAGTTTTTCAAGGTTGCAGATTATTCTTAACATTTATTCTTAGCAACATTATTACTTTACTTTAATTAATGCTTATATTCAGATTTTGGTATAGATGGGACTTAGAACTAGCAGATCACTCTAACAGTGCCTTTTGTCATCCCAGACAAATTGGAAAACATATGCTGGTGTCAAAGATTGTAAAGCATTTTCCATCTGCCATATTTAATTATCTTTTTTTTCCAGCAAGAATGTAGTCTGCAGAAGAGTCTCAGTCATCCAGGCCTCTCCCTGAAAGATAATTTGGGTTGTTGAAATGGCTGTGTCACTTCATATTTGACAAAGTCAAAGTCAAAGAAGATATAGAATAAGGGAATTTTTTGGTAAACAAGGTAGATGGATAAAAGTTTCACCAACAAGCTCTCAGGGAGATAGATTGAAAATGAGCTGTAGACACCATTACTTACTGTGCAGGCCAATGCATCATGCTGTCATTTACCTTGCTTAACGACCTGTGAAGCCATCTCTTGTTTCTTTTTCCTGATGCTTACGCTTTTATCTAGAGTGACTTACATCAATTCATATGTAATTCAAAGAATCTTTAGACTTGCTACCTAATGATCATCCAGGGTTTTCCCTGCAGCCCCTTTTCCTAGGACCACTTAGCAGTCACAGCACGAACAGTATCTCCAGAACGCCACCGAGAAATTATATTATATAGAGGCTTTAATGCCAAGTCGTCTATTAATAGCTTCAATAAACAGGGATACATATGACCACATTTTCTGGTTTTTAAAAACTCAAAATCCCAAGCATGCATTAAAGGTTTCTATGTTTTTGCATGTACAAATGGCAAATAAATCTCTTATATCTTGAGATCAGAAGTAACACTGTAGGTGATAAAGCATATATTCTACTTCTATCAGGGAATATTCTGCTGTAGAAATTGATAATTTGAAAGTTAAATTACTATATAGAAATTGTTTTAATACCAAGTGGTGTATTAATAACGTAAATAAACAGGGACAAAGATTACTATATTTTTGGTTTTTAAAAACTCAAAATCCCAAGCATGCATCAAATGTTTCTATGCTTTGAATTTAGCTGCAACCACTCCAAGAATAGTTTCTTGTGTGAAAAAGGCCATCCTCCAGGAGAACAAAATGTACACACCCCTATAATTCAAGAAAGTGTAATTTAGGCAAGACCTACAGAAAAAACTGCATGTTATTTTCAGCTGCTGACATTGGTGCATCTCCACAGATTTTGAAAAGAAATGAAGAGGCAGACAGTTAAATAAAAGATTAAAAACTATTTAAATCAGATATATAGCATATATGACTTGGGTTTTTTCTGCATGGTATGAAAAACAGCAAATTCTCCAGAGTGATTCTGCTTGAAAGAAAAAGAATGACTGAACAGAGAAAATCTCTTCCTGGATTGCTTGATTGGCAACTTCAGGAACACATGTGAAAAAAAATAAATGGTGGATCAGATAAGATGCCTGCAATGGGAATGCAAGCATCAGAACTAGACCTTGGAGTAATTAGAGAAGGTTGCCTGGTCCAATGAATTTCGGGTACATGTCAAGCATCTATGGGATGTATTGGACCAACAACTTCAATCTGTGGCTACACAGTCGTATATGTAACAGGGTTTGATTCATGAGACAGTACTCCCCTAACCAACATTAAAATTCATTCATTCACATTTTTCATTGACAAGTCTTGACCACCCAATAACCTGTTGATGGATTGTGGTTTTTTCCTCCTCTGAGCACTCTCAGTAGGTATTGACCACGGCTGACCCTGAGCACTCCACAAGTCTTGCTGTTTTGGAGATGCTCTGACAGCCATCTTGGCATCTTTGGCCCTTGTCAAAGTCACCCAGATCTTTATCCCTGGCCATTTCATTTGCATTCAACATTCAGCATGTCTAATATAGACAGGCTCCGGGGGGTCCGGAGCCTATCCCGGAAGCAACGGGCACGAGGCAGGGAACATATATATATGTTGACAATAAACATAAACAACATAACTGACAATACAGTTATGCTGAAACATTTGAAAGCTGTTCTGAAATTCTGTGTATATCCCCTGCATTTTATAATGTTCCTTTTCATCTTTCATTTATGGTGAATCCCTTTATGATGGCAGCAGTGCATAACTTGTATAGTTCAAGAGCTCTGTCTGTTCAAATAATTTTAGTTTTACCTACAACTAGTAAAAAACACATTTCAGGGTATGGAGTTCAAGGGAATGCCTGGTGAGTATATGGAGATCATGCTATACACCCTAAAGGCACAGTCTCCTTATGTGTATATGTGTATGCATTGTTAATAAGTAAATGCAGATTTTTGTTGTATGTATGTGTGTGATAGTAATCAAGTATGAACTGTACAGGTGTTCTGTGCTACATGTGTACCCATAAAACACATATATATAATATTCCAATTTAAAAATCCAGGGTGTTTAAATAATTTAAATAGAAATTGATTTCTTTGTCATCTGGTCAGCACTAATAGTTTTCTAGGAAAAAGTAAATAGACTGTCGTTATTTTAATACAGTAAGACCTCGGACATTCGTGAGGCTACATTCCATAACCCGTCGCGAATGAGGAGTCACTAAAAATGGTAATATGAGCTTATTTCTATAGTTTAAATCCTAAATATGGTCCCGAAACATTTAAATTTCATTTACAATTTAATTTCTTTTGCATTCACAGTAAGGTAAAATGAGTAAACAAACCCTTTAAGTGTTTGTAGCAAATGCGTTTTGAGAGGGAAACACGTACGGGTTAGTAATTTGCTATGTACGTAAACATTAGCACCCTTCAAATAAATTTATAATTTTTGTGCGTTGAATTTACGTTAACGTGTACTTACTATTAAAAGATAACTATTAACTATTTTCTAATATTTTCTAATATGTAACCATTAGCGTTCCTGTCACGTATTGCCGGGGCACAGACCGGGGATGCAGGGACAGGACGCAAGGAATTTGGGAACACAGGGTTTAATCAAAAGGCAAAGACAAGCAGGACAACGGAACACCTAGCAAACTCAAAATGACGTTAATAACTGGACTTGGAAATATACTTAAAATCAGACTGAAATACACAGGATTAATGACAGCAATTGGAAACAGCGCTGGTCCACACGAGGTAGATGAGGGGGCGTGGCACACGGGAGGATCGGAGGAGCAGGTCATGACAGTTCCAAAGGGAATAAACTTTGCGAATGGGATTCGCGTCTTGTAAAGTTACAGTACAGTATGTACATAAAAAGGAACGT